TAGATCTTTTGACATGTATGTAAATCTAATTGAAAATAATTCTTTTACACTTGTCGAAATCTAGTTAATCGACTTAACACGTGTCACGATCATGCTAATTATCACGTTTGACGCATTAAGTTTTATATCTTCCTCTGTATATCGCTTGTCCCTCAAAATCAGATGATTTCAAGCGGTCGAAACATTCCATAAGATTCAAGAAAAGAGTGCAGACGACGTGATATTAACATGATGCTGAGCCTTTCACACTCGTAATGACGAGATAAAAGTAAAGCAAATCCTTGCCTCGGCATCGTCCCGAAAACAGGGGTAAGACTCCATACCTTGTTGGAAAACATAAAATCTCTTTAACACATGGAGAACTGATTTTTTGTGCACCGCACCTTTTACATGAAGCATTCTCACCTATACTTCGTGGAATAAGAGAAATCCAACTAGAAGAGCACCAACAAGGATCTTCCCATAAGAAGCTCTGTATTTTGGGCTTGTTGGGATTGTCCCCACATTCTTTTGCCAATTGAAGAGAAGTTGAGCAGGTGGAATGTCTTTATCCCATCTGCTTTGGAATTGAAGATTTCACGATTGGAGATGTTATTGGAAAAATCAGTCTGAACAAAATGTTTTGTAGCTGAACAAATAAAATGAACAAAGAGGGTTAGTTTTTATCCTTATCCTTATCTTTTTATTTCCAAGGTAACTGTAAAGGACTTAATGAAGAACAGTTTTTAATTTTCCTACTACAATGATTTAATGGTGTGTTACTAATTTAAAGCCAAACCAAGGATTCATACCGAATGTGGCAGTTCGAGAGTGTTTCCAGCGCAAAGGAATAGCAAAAAGACTAGAAGCCAGGGCCAAAACCTTGTCCTTCAACATGTTAAGTAAGGGTGTTTAACTAGTATTGTCAAGTACAAACATGATTTTGGCTTCCTTTTTCCATAGACCTAGCAAAGCACTCTGCACGCTGTAAACCCAATCTACCAAGAACACTGCTGCACGATCCGCAGAATCAACACAAGTCAATTTTATCGCGACGTGAGAGATCGTTGTAACTTTTTGTACAGCCTTTCACTTAGACTTTGTTGAGGTGTGACACATGACTGAGTCTATGCTTCAATGTTACATGGGAACTATTGATTCTACTAACGTACTTCAAGTTATTAAGATGAAATTTCTAAGTAAGCTTGTACAATTAGTCACGTGAATTAGGTGACTAAATAAAGAGCTATTTTAAAAAAATTCAGGGCCGGTTCTAACATGTGGTGCATTTGCACCATGTTCAACTATTTTTGCAATTTTTGCACTAAGATTGGCGAGCACTAAGCTAAGATTGTATGGTTTGATTTTAATGTATGTAGTCTGGATCGAAGCTTGACTTACCATTTAATAATTGATAGTAAGTCACAAACCAATGAATTTTGTACAGTACATACTTATTTTTCGTTTTCCTTCTTTTGGTTTCAGACTCCTTTTTAGAAAAGAACAAAATAAATGGGTTCACGATCATGTCTATACTCTTTACTTTTTACTTCTTTAGTGATGAAAAAGGTCATAACTGATATCCAGCAATTAACATAGTGGCTAGACTTATTCAATGGATACTAACATTAAAATATATAAATAAAAAAAGACTTTTAAGATGTTTTGTAATTTATCTTTATACGCTTCATGCATTTGTCGTCGAAGATTTTTTTATTAATGAAGATATTACTCACTCGATGGAAACAATGAAAAAGTTACACATTTATTTCTGAAAAAATAATCAAACTTGGATAATTGTACAATTTATTATAAATTATTTCATGTAGCACTATATGAATTTAGAGATGATTATAGAAATTAAAATTATATAAATTCGTACTACAATATTTAATAAGTGAATGCATGATGGATTCTTGACAAACACGTTGTACTTTTATTATGATCTAGAACCTAAAATTGTCTCTAATTTGTTGTTACATGCATAAGGCCATACCGGCTGGATCAAATAATTGGATGTGTGTGGACTGCACCTCCCCAATGATTAGTGTGGGTCCATAAGATTGGGATTTACCCTTAAGTTATCCAAAAAAAAAAGTTCATTTCCATTTTTTTGTCAATTTTTACATACAATTAAATTTGCTATATTCTTTTTTTAAACAAATTTTGATATGTAATGAATCAAAAGTAAAAGAAAAAAATCATGCATAACATGGGTATTTACCTAGTCGTAGTTAAAGATATATCGTTTTTTCTCTAGTGATTTTAACAAATACCAAAAATAATAAAAATTGCATGCTTTGTTAAGAGATAAGGTGTCAACAAAAACGTATTTTCTGAAAAAGAAAAAAAATGACTTGAAAATGAAGCACAGTTTCACTCACTTGAGAATATATTTTGCAATTCTAGGAAAAAATATATATATTTTGTCAATATAAAAATTCTCACAGTCAATTTTATCAATTTGGATGCGAGGTTTAGACGTCATCTAACGTATATTCTCTTGGTTCTAAAGAGGAAAGTAAGTTTGTGCCAAGAAATTTCTTAAAAGAGCAAGTCCAAAAATCATGTTTCAAGTAACCCAAGAAAAATGAGAATCCTATGATTAAATTAAATTTTGATAGACGTGGGAACAAATATGGTTTTAAAAGTTCACATGAGATAGTTGACCGTATTGACTGATATAGGTACCCCAAAATCTTTCGCCGCCTTAGTCAAAAAGAAAAAGAATCATCCAGGCTTATCCCTTAAGTTGATGTGAAATAGTAAGATAATAAATAAGAGTAATATTAACATGTAAATTACAAAATGTTAAAGTGTTGCTCATGTGGGAATTCGTTTTCAACAATGTATTAACACACTATATATTATGTTCATATTATTTAATAGATAATTTTAGAGAAATACCATTTTTGGAATACCACTTTTTCATAATTATTTACTCATTATATTATTTATGTTTGAGTTAACTAGGATTTAGATCTAAGGGTTTAGGGTTTGTTAGAGATCAAAATATTTTTTTAGGATTTAAAATTTAAGATTTAATGTTTAAAAATCCTTAATCAGTAGCATTTTTGAAAATGGACAATTTATAATAACATTTTTGAAAATATACACACCAAAAATAGTATTTTTGCAATTATCCTTATTTAATAAGCTAAATAAACATAGCCACAATTGAGTTTTTATTATAAATTTCCATTAAAATATACAATACTATTTATAGTAAGAAAAAAATAAAGGCCTAAAACCATACATAATACGAAACAGTATGGATATTAGTAAACAAAATTATCACAAGAATCAGTACTCGATATTAAAATAGTGTTTCGATGTCTATTTGTTGAGTCAGGTTTATCTAATGCATATTAGGAAAAGAATAATTTACTAACCGCAATCAACGAGATTGAACCTATTCTCAAAAACAAAACAGAGATTGAACAATATTAAAACAATATGCGAATATTTGAGTAGAAAAGAAGAACGGTTAACAAACTTTTTCTAGTGGCCAAAGCTTACGTACATTTTCCCACACGTTTCCATCCATAACATAGAAAAAGCGGAGAATTATTATTTTTAACAATAACGGTGGATTCTATGTCAGCTTGAGATACGAATATTTTGTAAAAAGCAATTTTCCCGAGAATGTTGAGACGATTTGATAACTGCTGTAATTTAATCCAGTAAGACTTTGCCCTAAATGCATACCAATCTTATTGGATTAATTTCAAGATTTTTTTCTTGGATTAATTTAAAGATTGTTTTGTGGAGAATCTTAAAGTTAATTCATTAAATAGAAAAACAAAACAATCTTTAAAAATATGGTTGTGGAGAATTTCTACAATTCTTTCCAAGCAGGCTCTATGTTTACGATCATGAAAATAAAAATAAAATACACATAATTGGTTAGATATTATATAATTAATTAGTGTTATATAAATAATTTGGTAACATTTTCATTGTTAAAATAAAGTGTTCACATTATCAAATATTATAGATTTCTGTGCATTTTTCAAAAAAATCACAATCGATTTGTGTTCTAGTGTTAGAAAGACTGATTCTCACTTTATGTAAAAGTCACAGTCAATCTGCATTATAAATAAGTTTGAATAGACTCACTTTTATCAATCTGAATATCACATCTATTCTTTATTGGAGCTCCTTGCATAATTTCACACTTACGTTACGTACCTCTTCAATCCATCGATGACAATCTCCTCTCCTACTCAAACCCATCAAGTGTTCTTCAATTACCGAGGAGAGCAACTCCGATACAATTTCATTAGCCACCTCATTGATGCCTTTGAGCGACACAAGATCAAGTTCATCATAGACATATACGAGCAGAGAGGCAAAGATCTCAAAGATCTCTTTGTAAGAATCGAGGAGTCGAGGATCGCGCTAGCTATCTTCTCTACCAGGTTTTGTATAGTAGTGTGCATGTAAATACTAGTAATGCACTCACTTAACTAGAGAAGATTAACAAACTAAATAACTTTTGTAATAATGGTGAAATTATGTATACATAGGTATGCGGAATCAAGCTGGTGCATGGATGAGTTAGTGAAGATGAAGAAACTTGCGGATCAAGGAAAACTCATAGTCATTCCAATCTTTTACAAGGTCAAGGCAAAAGACGTGAGAGGACAGGAAGGTGAGTTTGGTGACAACTTCTGGAAGCTTGCAAAGGCTTCTAGTGGAGATCAGATCAAGAAATGGAAGGAAGCTTTAGAGTGTATCTCCGACAAGATGGGTTTGTCTTTCAGAGACAAGAGGTATTTTCCACTCACACTCACCCTAAGTTCGAAATGTTAATGGCATTGAATGATTTATGGCATACTTTTTTAAAAATATTTTGAAGCTCTGAAGCCGATTTTGTCAAGAAAATTGTTAAGGAGGTTCAGAGAGTTATAGCAGCAATTGAATCCGAGGACGACAAAAATAATTTTGTGGTAAACGGAGAAAGCTTGAGAATTGCAATCTCCATTGTATGTTTGTTTAAGCTTAATCATCAAATTTTGGGACCAAGACGCGAACCAGAGGAAGTCGTTCCTGGAGATCCTCAAGAGGCATGGGAAACTTTCCCGCCAGATCATTGGGGCTTATTCATTTCATAACAATGTTGATTGATTTAAAATCAAAGCTAGTATTATGGAAGTTTATGGTTTATTGGTTTAGAAAATGGTTTATTGGGTAGTTTTTCTTCTTCATCCTTATATTTCAGTTTATGGTAATTTCAATTAATTATGCATTTTAATAGAAAATTGCAGTTTCCAATTTAATCTCTCTTCCTCTCAATCGATTATTTCCAACAATTGTGGTATCAAAATGGGCGCTATGGTGCAGTCGAAACAAGATGATCTTCGAGGACAAAGCTATAACAACAGAGGACACTCTGTTATCAGCCATTTCTATGGCTCGAGAATGGTTCGATGCACAACAACTTGCAACTCCAAAAAACAGAGGAAAGAATCACCAAGCGTTTAACTTAACGATGGATGTAACAACTTGTCAATCAGATGCCGCTTGGAACTCACAAACCAAATCAGCTGGGCTAGGTTGGATAATCTTCCCACATGAAACCCGGCCTTTAGAGGCTCTTGCTCTACAAGATGCTGTCTAGAGCACTCTGGAAAAGGGTTACAAAAAACTGAGATTCGAGTTGGACTCATCTCAACTTATCAACGCCATCAATTCGGATCTTTCCCCCTTGAATTTATATGGTATCATCAAAGACATCGAGACACTCGCCCAAAACTTCGAAAGTGTTTCCTTTGTTTACATTAATCGTTCACTTAATGTTAAGACAGATAGCCTCGCAAAACTTGCGCTTAGTTTTATGTTTGTATAATCGGGATTTTAGCTTTAATGGAAAACTATCCTTTTGATAAAAAAAAAAGAGAGAGGCAAATATTGTTATCTCCATGTGTGTTTGTTTCAGATGAATCTTTAAATGTTAATGCAAACATGAACATGAGGCTATCCTTCCACGGGAAACTCAAGCTTAAGCATAAGTGCATAACACATCAAATATCTTATCTTATTATATAAAGGAGGATACGCATGATGAAAACGCGATACGAAAGTAAAATTGTAACTCACAAGATCGTGACATGTGTTTACTGTTGACTAGATGATGACATGTATTAACACTTAAAATTAATCTATATATTATTTGAGAAGTGCAAAAGCTTATGTGGCAGCTCGAGGAGCCGTCTCAAAATGGTACTTAATTGTATTTATTTAATGATACCCTTAATATTTTCGCTAATTACGTTATGTTCCATTGTTATTATTTTACGGAATTGCCCTATGTTTTATATGTCTTATTGTTCAAACTAATTATGAGAAAAAGAAAATTTCTAATAGTTCACATTAGCTAGATTAAAAAAAATCTAATATCTTAAACTAATTATCAAATTCAATTAAGAAAGAAAATAGAGAGACTGTAAACCCTAAAAAAAGTAGAGATAACAAAAATCAAGTAAGAAAATATTATCGACGAGAGGTTGACACTTAAAC